TTACCTAACAAGAGGGCACCCAGCGTGTCGGCCCCCAGTAACAAATCTATCGGCCCCGGTTGGGCCCACCGAGGGTCTGCCGGTCTCAAAGCCGACGCACAGCGCACAGCGTCATTTGTACGAACGTTAGGGAGGAACCCTACAATGTCGTCGAGGACATTTACCTTGACTAAAATACGAAGGTGTTCGCTGTCAGGGCTGAACACCAACTCCGATTGTCCCCTAGGAGCAGGAGGCTCGGCACCTCCAATACCTACCATCGGACGTGATTCAGAGCTCCAGGGGAGCCCCAGTCTTCCCACCAACCGAGTAGAGGCCACACTACGCTGGGAACCCGAGTCCAATAGAGCTCGAACCGTTAAGTGGTCGCCGCTCGGGTTGTAAACCTTCACTGAGGCTGTCGGCAATAGAACAGTTTGACAGGTGGACTGCTGACGACTTATAGGCTCAGTGGAGGCGGCCATGGCGGGAGCTAGGGCGGCAGCCTCCTATCTGGAGCTGCCTCTGTTAGGCCGGCACCCGAACCGGGGGGCCCGAGCGCGGCACTCCGACGGCGTCTCGATGACCCCCGACTGGAATTCCCCGAACGGGCCGACCGAGGGAAACTTGGGGATCCTCGGCTCCAAGGCTCGGGGCCGATACGCAGTCTCCGGAACCCGGTAGTACCGGCACCGGCCAAAGGGGGGCGGGCGGCGTTCCAGTCGCGGCCACTCAGCCAACGGGGGTGAGAAAGGTCTAGCTGACCGCTGAGTGGCCGCGAATCCACTATCAACTCGGGGAGGGGGGGTGAAGACCCCCCCGCCCCTGGGGGAACGACTCCCCGACCGATCGGGGGAGGGGCTCCCTTCAGAAGGAGGGGCGCTGCGGTCCGCCGGTGAGCGCCGAGCGTCGCCCGACAGTGGGCGTGGCTGGGCGCCCCCGCCCGTGGGAGTTGGGGGGCTGGCAGGGCCCTGCGAGGACGAGCCGCGCGCACCCAGGCACAAGAGGACGTTGTGGTTGCCCTGGCAGTGCGTGCAGGGCCGCTGGTGCGGGCAGTCTCGTTGTAAATGCCTCTCCAGGCACGAGAAGCACCAGCGGCGCTCCCTGGCGATGGTTCGCCTCGCCTTAGCCGGCTTGCGCAACAACTTCGGGCACGACGCCGGCCGGTGGTCGGATGCTCGACAATAGGAGCAGGGAGGCGCCTCCCGGGCCGCTAGGCCACTATAGGAGGGTACGGGGGGGCGCCCTCCCGCGGGGGCTCCACTCGGCCTCAGGGGGGTGGGCGCCGCCTTGGCCGGCTGACTCCGCCTTTCCCTGGGCACCGCTCGGGAGGAGGCCGGGGGGCCTTCGACGGCGCCTGCTGCGTTCTCCAGCAGCCTGCACTGTTCTTCCAGGAACCGCAGCAGGTCCCTAAAGGGGGGCATATAAGAGGCGCCATCCCCTCCGAACCTCTCCTCAAAATGGAGCCGAAGGTCGAGGGGCAGGCGGGACAGCACTATATGAAGGAGCAGAAAAGACCACTCGTCCACAGGTAAATCCAGCCGCCGCAACGAGTTGCACGCTACGACGACTGGATTCACTATGTCTTCACGTAGTCTAGTCCGGTCCTTCAGCAGCGGGAGGTTCAGCAGCCTCCGAACATGATCGTCCGCAATCCGCCGGACGTTGGCGTACCTTCCAGCGAGGAGGTCCCTGGCGTTTTGGTAGGCGTCGTCCGACAACTTAAGGTGGCCGACGACGCTCAGGGCCTCCCCCTCTAGTGAAGCCAGGAGGTACCCCATTTTTTGTCAGGGGGTCAGGTCCCTCCGGGCGTCCACCAGGCTGTCAAACAGGCCGACGAAGGTCATCCACTCCGAGAGGACCCCGGAGAACCTTGGCAGGTCCAGCGTCGGAAGTCGTCCTAGCAGCTCTGGCTGAGCAGACGGCTTCCGCGGGGACTCGAGAAGGCTAATCAGCCGAGCTTCGCGCTCCCTCTCCGCATCCTTGGCCCCCGCCTCGATCAGGTCGTCCGTCAGCGCGAGGAACTGCTCGTAGTCCGCGCGGCAAGATTCCAGGACTCCCTTTTCCACCTCCAAGTCCTCGTGCTCAGAGTAAGCCTCCTCCACGGCCGCCCTTCGAGCATCGACCTGCTCAAGCCTCTTCCTCAGATTGTAGACCCTGTCCGGTCGGCCTATCAACGCGTGTGCGCTGGTAGCCCAGCGCAGCTCAGTCCGCAGGCAACGGATTAGCATCTTGGGCGAGGACATCACTACTAAATTCAAATTACGACGCGGCTCGAGCACAATTACAACAATAACAAATAAAAAATACAAAAAAATTAACAGCCAACTAATGCAGCTCCTATCAAATCGAGTTGGATAGAATGTACACAAATAAGAACAGCTATTATTAAATCAAACACAAGTTAGTACAAAGGAAAAGGTAAATCAAATCAACAATAACAAATACTAGTACGATCAAATCAAGTTCATTTAAATTACGTAAATACAAATTACCACTCTTTAGTTCAAATACAATTTACAATACGAAAGATATGTAACGAAGATACACATCAACAAAAATGCCTTGCTCGGAAATCAACCCTTCGATAAGTAACACACTACCATCCGACAACGACAATTAACCGATTACGTAAAAATAACCATCTACCTACATGACGCAATCTCCCGCTTGCGCGCGAACCGGGTGTGACCTTTCAATTTTACCCGCTAACAGTAAAGCAAGCTAACAAAGGAAGGAATTTTATTATTACGTATAATAATAAAAAGGTATTTTACGTATTACGGACGGGCGTGATTGTAGCCACAAATCCACCCAACGCTCCTGCCACCAAATTATTTAATTTTTATCAAATACTATGGTCGGTGGATCGACCGGGAATCGATCCCAGAACCACGCTCTGCTACCAAATGTTACGGCCAACAGCTGCCCTGCCTCAACAGGAGTTGGATCCTTCGCGGCCCATAGACGAAGGAGCCACGGGCAGATGCAGGTCGGGCGTTCCTACGCCGAGGGTCAAAGGTTTCTAATGAACACACGAGGGGAAAGGTCACTAGAATAAATGCACTTACCTGCCCCAGGAGCGCAGACGGTTCTCCTCGACCGGCCCGGCTGATGAAAGTTGTGCTTGGTGTGTGCGGTGTTGTGAGTGTAGGTGTAATATGTTGACGGGAACCGATCTGGATGACTCGACGACGTCCGGGAGAAGGCACGCGCTGGTATCCCCGGAACTTCACCCTTCTGGAGGCACTCGTAAGTGGTTGTCACCAAATGGGACGGCTACTCTGGTAGTCCTTCAGATGTAAATCACTTTGATAGTTGCGCGCGAATTTCACCGAGTTAGTACGTTCTAATAACGATACCGTTATTGCAACGATTTACGCGGATTGTTCCTTTAGCAAGTTTAGGCGCGAAAAAATACGTCCGTATAGTTCGCAAGAAAAATCCTACTACCTCGCGAGAAGAGCCACGCCGACCCGTCCGGCGGCCGGGGGGGCGGGGGAGAGGGAAGGTGCCCTTGATATCGAGGCCAAAAGCGCGCGTTAAATACTGCGTTTTTATTGCAAATTTTCCTGCCTAGACACTACTGGTGGTGAGGGGAGAGATGATCAACGATTTGTATGAAAACCAGTCTAATGGGATATTAATAAAGCTATACTCGAAAGAGAGCTGCGCCCTCTGTGCGATTTCGCAACTCAATTACATCAAATTTGTACTATCACTCTCTCACGGTTTGCCCAATATCTTTATTTGTATAAGACATACATTTATACATTTTATTTATAAAGATAGCACAAAAAATATCTATACTATGATATACATTACATTTTTATATCACAAAAATCTTTTATTTATTCAACAAAATATGCCTATTTTACAACATATGTACTAAGTCAGAATTTTTAAATATCTAAAATATAAGGTTGAAACAATGTTCTTTATTTGAAAATACAAATATCTTAACTAATACAATAGTTTAATTTACATTTTTTCTACATATTTTACTATTTAAAACACTTTTAAATTTCTTATACAAAACTATCAATATTTCACTAAGATAAAAGAATTAACATGCGTGATTCACACAGAATTCACCTATTTTGCCCAGTCAACCGGAAACATTTTACAAGTCAATTTTACATAAATTGCAGAAATTTACTAACATTTAAATTTCCACTTATTTAAACTTTTGATTCTACAGATTAGCGCGCTGCTGTTATTTGCTGCTAAATGAACAATTACTAACTTTCACACGACACCTCGATGTCGGTAAAGCAGGTGGCAATTTTAGCACATTTCACTCCTATCCATTGACACAAGATGAGCAATCAATCCCTGCACGACCCCCCTTGTCGGCAAGGTAGTATCCAATAAGAATCTCTTATCAGTTATCAAAGATCTTATCAGTTATCATATACTTATCAGATAACACAAAGAAAATATTTTATGAATCAAACATTGAAAATAGACATTTTACTTTTCATAAAAAACGTATTCAACTTGCATAAGATAATACTTATGCAACATTTTACATTAATTTCACTTATACACAAAGTGATCATTTCGACCGGGGAACAAATCCTGGTCTCTAACTTTATTTTAATATTTCTTTAAATTAACAATATCATTGAAAAGGTAATTTCAACCGGGGAACTGAACCCGGAAACATAATTTATATCTTAAAAATTCCCTATATGAATTTATTAAGAAAATATTACTAAGAAAACGACGAACTAGTCCGGCCTGGGATTCAAACCCAAGACCTTCAAATTATTAATTCGATATTTCTTTAAGATTCAACTAAGCGTTTTCTAATAAGAATATTATTGCTTGATAATTTGATTTTAGAAGCTATTCGTAATCGGTTAACTAATAAATTCAAATGTTTTTTTATAGACGCGTCGCCAACAGTTATATAATAAGAATTATTTTTAGTAATAATGAGAGTGTTTTTGTAATTTTTGTTAATTTTGATTCAGGAATTTCTCTAAATGAGTGATTTCTGAACTTAATCGCATTAAATGGTAACCGAGTTTAGAGAAGCTTTCCGAAATAACCCTTGTCTTTGGAAAATTATAAGCAACGATTACAGAGACAAAAATATGAAGTTTCAAGCATACAATAATTTATTAGAAATTATACGTAAAGTGGTACTATTGACAACGTTAAGAAAAAAAAATTCATTAAGGGTGGGGTACCGTAAAGAACATAAAATAGAGCCAGGTAGCAAGAGGAGTGGTTCAGCAATTGACCAGGTATACGTGCCAAAATTACGTTACTACAGTCAGCTTGAATTTCTTTATAATCAAAGCGAAGGTAACTTTAATTATTTATTAAAGAATTGCTCTATAGTACACTATTCGTGCCTATACTTTGTTAGGCCTGCGTCTAAATTAGGTACGCTCCTAAAATAAAGTAGCATTGTTGTTTCATTACAATAATGACGTTGCGATATTATACATTAAACAATAAGTACATTTAGCTAAGTGTTTTATTTACAGGTGAACTATCGGCTGACAATATTGACAGCAGCGCACAGGAGACAGCTAATGATAATGAAAATACATTTGATGCTGAGCATAGTGAAAATGATACTCAGGTAAAATATTATTATTATTATTATTATAACATTCTTAGTTGATATGACACTGCACCACTAGTGTTAAAGTAAGTTTCATACTTTCTCTGATATATTATTTTGCATTTTAAGTGGGGTTAGGACAATGTGTTTGTTGTAGTTACTATCATTCTCCATTTTGTGGTCCCAGTCCCAATTCAATAGTTCCATTTTCATGATTTTCACTATAAAAGTTAAGATGTGGACTGTAAGTTTGCCTTAGTTTCCTTAAAAAATAGTCAATACACAACACGCTTAAACTATTTTGTTAACACTGGTATTTATAGGAGGAGAAAAAATGTGAAATCTTCCCGCCTAAATTTCAAAAACATATTCTATGAATCTTTTAGTACTACATACTCTGTAATTGTATATCCTCTTACTTGAGATAGCCTGAGATTGCCTTTGTGGGTACGGTTTCATGAAATCTATCCTCAAAGCAAAAGCCTCGTCGCCAATAAATACATAGGGCAACTCTTCCGAATGTCCCCTTGGTTTTCTGAGACTAGGAAGATTTAAACGCTTGGAAATCAATATTTGAAAGAATTTAGTTTTTAGTAATACTGTTTAATACATACTAATATGGATATTTGTTCCAATATCCACATAAATAAATACATAATTCGCATCTGCAATTCCTATAAGCACAATACTATGATACCGTTTATAATAAATAAAATGTGAGCCTCTGGCAGGAGGGACTATAGCGACCTGTTTCTCATCGACGGCTCCTAAGTAATTTGGAAATTGCAATCTAAGCCCAAACTCTTCAACGGTTTCTATCCATTCTGCTTTTGAACTCGGAAAATGTAACAAAAAAAAACTCATAAGTCAGTATAATGATATTGGTTTTGTTTACAGAATACCAAATACAACGTGTCTTCACCTGCGATACCTGCAACATCTGCACGTCGTAAACGACAAGTCAATGATGGAATTCAAAATTCAATATCGTTGATAGGTAAAAAATTACAAAAGCCTGATGATGAATATGATGTTGCTGGAAAAATGTCGCAGCTAAACTCCGCAACATGACTGCTATTCAACAAGGCATAGCTGTAAATCTCATCAATGAAGTTATATTTTTGGGACGGTTTGAAAGATTAACTTTTAATACAATTATACATTATCCGGTTCTAGTCCAGGTACCCCAAAAGCAGCTGATAGACATCCCAGCTTTTCCAGTCCAGATGCAAGAAACACAAGCATTTAACTTGTCACAAGACTCGCAAACTGTTATTATCTCGAACTCTCTGGTTGAATATTTTAAATTTAATAATAATAATAATAAAAAATAAATAAAAATAGTATGAGGTTACGTTTTTACATGATAAATAGTACATTTATTGTGCCATTGAAAAATAAAGTCTGATTACCATATTATTTGTACTCGTATTAAGTAATTTTATTTATAAAACAGGTACTTAATGATAAATACCTTTAAATATGTGTATCAGTTCAGAGTATATTGCATCACATGTGTTAGGAATTATGACTGTCTTGATATCGCTGACGAATACATTATATCTTTATAAGTTCCGTACGGCTTATCCTCTGGCCTGATTGCCTGGGTGAAGGACTTTTTGAGTGAACGATCTCTCCGGGTCGTCGTCGATGGCTGCTCATCCGATACTGTGGCGACTAACGCCGGTGTTCCTCAGGGGTCCATTCTTTCAGCAACTCTCTTCCTGCTGCATATAAATGATCTGCTCATTTTCGGTATCTATGGGTATGCAGACATCAGCACAGTTGTGGAGAAATACCAACCAAGTGTCCGGGCCAGTCGGGATCAAATCCAGTCAGAAGGAGAGGCTATGGTTGTGCGTGTGAGTCTCACACTACAGGCAGTCTGCGAATGGGCCAATCTCGTGAGATTTAACGCTTCCAAAATACAAGCGTGTCTTTTCAACGGTAAAACGCACTGACCGCCTTTAGTTACTAGGAGTTGAATTTGCTTCGAACCTAAACTATGAGCAGTTCATTGAATTCAGAGCCAAAGGAGCCGCAAGGAAACTTGGTGTCCTTGCAAGAGTGCTGCGGTATTTTACGTCAGGGTAGCTTCTTACCTTATAAAAAGCGCAAGTCCGGTCGTGAATGGAGTACTACTGTCACATATGAGCTGGTGCTGCAAAATGTCACCTGGCAGCGTTGGACTCGGTGGAGAGACGTGCTAAAAGGCTCATTGGTGACCTTGATTTGGTTGAAACCAATCTTGTCAGCCTCGAGCACCGGTGCAGAGTAGGCAGTCTCTCGGTATTCTATAGGATGCATTGCGGTGAGTGTGCACAGGAATTACACGCTTTAATTCTTCCCTCTCCTTTCCACCATTGGACAACCAGGCGGTCGGCGAGTCTTCATCCCTTTGTTGTTGATATTCCACGCATTAGAACCAAACGGTTTGCTTTGTCTTTTTTAATGCGTACAGCAAAGTAGTGGAATAATTTGCCGGCGACTATCTTTCCGTCCGAATACACAATCTGGGCGTCTTTAAGGCAAGAGTGCATAGGCTTTTGTTACACTAAGGGAGTGCGATTTACCATCTAAGGCTGCATCATCACTTACCACTAGGAGGGATTGTGGTCAAGTACTGGCTTATAATAAGTAAAAAAAAAATGTTCCACCAGTTATCAAAAATCACTTCTCTCATGCAAGTATCCTGTTTAGCTATTATTGGTATAACTAAGCGCAAAAGTTCTTCATACACTGGCTCAGGCGTTCTGAAATAATTATGGAATTCTTCCTTCTCTTCACGTAACTCTCTTACTAAATTCACATGTGATAAACGCTCTCTTTTCTTATGCCAGTTCTTTACCCACACTTTTCGACTTCGTCGTTTTTATTTTAGTTTTTAAATGTAATACGGATATAATTCCTAAATAACACAAAGCTTCTTCTGGCAACGACATTGCAATACAGAGTAAGTAAGCTTCACGTGTGTCACCGACGTCGAGCCGAGTAAGTTCGTGATCTTATAAACCGCGTACTTCAAGTTCGTACCTCTATCACGGCCATAAGACCAAAGAGTTAAATTATTCGAGGGTCAGTTCCTCTGGTGTAACATGATATTTGGTCAAATCCACCCTTAATAATCCATTTTTTTTAAATAACCATGTAATAGTATTATGGTATTCTTTAAGGTAATGTTGTCCCATCACGGTTCATTTTCTTCTCGTTCCCTTGGTTTTAGAGCTTTGTAGAATATTTAGAGACCAGGGCAAGAGACCCGACGGTACAACTTTGAATGCTTGGGAGAGATATGGTGGGATACTACTTCCTAATATACTTTGGCAGCCTCTCATCCCTAGGGTACCTCGTATAAAGCAAAGCTGGCATCAGAGGCAACTGAACTAAGAACGTAGCCCAAATATGAGTCTCTGAGAGATAAGTACCTACTCGTATTTGTGCCATTTACTGTAGAAACTATCGGTCCGTGAGGTTCACGTGCGGTGAAGTTCCTAAACAAACTATCCGCATTTAAATGAAACTAATTTTACGGATTTTATCGCGTATATTAACTTATTTTACATTCCCGACGTTTCAAGCACTTTACAGCACCCATGGTCACGGGGAGGATTGAGGTGTATGACGTCCCAATGTCAATAGTTAACCACGGCTACCTCCAGATTAAAAATTATTAATTTTTGTTCCGATCTACGCAGTAAGAACTTACAGTATCATGAAGTCTTGCAGTTGTATGCTTGGGTTGGGATTTAAATTTATTAATTATGGGATCCCAAGCAGATGGTAGCACCCAGCCATCTTCTCTATCGAAATTAGGATGTTTCTTGATTTCAATAGCCTCGCGAATCATCCTTGGAAGGAATCAGTGTTCTTTAGCGAGGATTTGTGGTCTATCAAATCTAATGTAGTGACGGGGGCGATCCTGTACGTATTCAGACTGCAGACTTCCCGGAGCGTCTATTCTTCACATCAGCTATGTGTTCTTTAACGCGGGTTTTTATGGATATTTTAGTTTGTCCTATATAAGAGAGACCACATTCACAATCAAGCTTGTACACTCCTGCATCTTGCAGAGGAATATTACACTTGACTGATGGTAAAAACTGACAAATCTTCTTCGGCGGCTTGAAATATGTTTTAATGGAAGCACGCTTCAAGATGTAGTCAATCTTGTCAGTGACACCTCTGACATATGGCAGTACAGCAGGCACTCGCTCGACTGTGGCCGGCTTCACTACCACGAAGCTTATTGTCGTGCAAAACTTGCTTGACGTGTTGGAGCTCGGCGGCCAGGTGTTTACTGTCACAGATCCCTCGTGCTCTCTGAAACAAAGATTTACCCACGGTAGCTAACTGTGAAGGATGGTGGTGAGAATCACCGTTTAAATATCTATCTGTATGGTTCTTTTTTCTATACACAGTGTGGCTCAAGGTGTTATCAGGATGCCGAATTACTAACACATCTAGAAAACCTAAAGAATTGTTTGCCTCTAACTCCATTGTGAACTGAATTTTAAAATTTATAGAGTTAAAATGGTCTAGAAATGCAGTTACTTTATTTAAAAGGAGAATTGTGAAAGTGTCGTCTACATACCGCTTGTAGAATCTTGGTTTTACGGGAGAAGTACGCAGGGCTTTCTCCTCAAAGTCCTCCGTGAATATATCGGCAACAATGGGAGATACAGGTGAGTCCATCGCCACTCCATCTACTTGCTTGTAGAACTCCTCCTTCCACAATAGGTAGCCAGATGTAAGGCAGTGTCTAAGTAATACTGCATATTCTACGGGCATGTTGTTTTGCTCTAGCCTTCTAGTAACAATCAAGATGCAGTCTTCAACAGGTAAGCATGTGAATAGAGACTGCACATCAAAACTGACCATAGTTTCATTGTCTGCCAGATGTAGATCTTTAATGTCGCTGACAAAATGGTAGGAATACTTTGTGTGTGCTCTTGTATGTGCCTTGAGCGGTGAGAGTATATTCGCTAAGTGTTGAGCCAATTTGTAAGTTGGTGAATCGATTTGGCTCACTATAGGACGTAGTGGAGCATTGGGCTTGTATAGTTTTGGTAACCCATACAAAATATCTGCAACCCATCGTCGCTGCTGGTGATAAGAGGGCTGCTTATTTTATCGCTCAATGGTTAAATATAGCCATTCATAGAGGAAACATAGCCAGGGTTCTTGGCACTATACCGCGGAGGCCTGTATTATAATTTCAGTTTATTTTTATTACAATTTTTAATATTGTAATTTAGAATTCAAAATTGAAGTTGTAAATAACTAATAACTATGTAATTAAAAGTTATACGGGAGATGATGCTACATTCTTCAACAGACTTGACAGCATACAGGCATCTGAACAGACAGATCTCCAAATGCATGCAGCGGGACTTACGCAACTTCAATACAGCTCGTATTGAAGAAGCGATCGAGCGGAACCAAGGCTCCAAAGTCTTTGCCAGAGATCTGTCTGCCAGAAAGAGCCAACTGTCAAAGCTGAAGACAGAATGTGGCAGCATCGTTTCCGGGACACCTGAGACTTTGAGTGAGATTGAGAGGTTCTATGGGCAGTTGTACACGTCATCGTTGGAGCCACACGCAAGTGTGAGTAACGATCCAAGAGCGAGTCTCATCCGACACTATTCCGAAGATATCCCGGACGTCAGTCTGAGCGAGATTAGAATGGCTCTCCAGCACCTTAAAAACGGTAAGGCCCCAGGCGAGGATGGAATTACAGCGGAGCTTCTGAAAGCGGGTGGAAAACCGGTACTTGAAGTCCTTCAGAAGCTCTTTAATTCCGTCCTCCATGGTGGCATTACACCGGAGGCGTGGAGCAGAAGTGCGGTGGTCTTGTTCTTCAAGAAAGGTGACAACGCTCTCTTGAAGAACTACAGACCGATTTCCCTTCTGAGCCGCGTCTACGTGCTGTTTTCGAGAGTCATTACGAATCGTCTTGCGCGCAGACTTGACGACACCATAGACCACATACATACCCTTCGGCAAATTGTACAGAAGTCCGAAGAGTACAATTTGCCACTATGTCTGGCGTATGTGGACTATGAGAAAGCCTT